GCTCCCCGCTGCCCCCCCCATCTCCCCTGTCCAGCCCTGTTGCCCCCCCTCCCATTAGCTGTTTCCAGGCCCCCCCCTTCCCTGCCAGCACCACTCCCTTTCTCGCTGCTACCCCCCAATGAAGCATGTCCTGTTTTTCGGGTTTTTTTTAAATGACTATTTGGTAACCCCTAGCAGGTAACCCCTGGTAACCCAATGATCCAGGTTCTTGGAGTCTTTTTTTCCCCTGTCCAGCCCTGTTGCCCCCCCTCCCATTAGCTGTTTCCAGGCCCCCCCCTTCCCTGCCAGCACCACTCCCTTTCTCGCTGCTACCCCCCAATGAAGCATGTCCTGTTTTTCGGGTTTTTTTTAAATGACTATTTGGTAACCCCTAGCAGGTAACCCCTGGTAACCCAATGATCCAGGTTCTTGGAGTCTTTTTTTTTTTTTTTTTGCTCAACAACTGCCCCCCCCCTTTTTTTCCCTTCAACAATTTTTTTTCCCTGGTGGCTTTTTTTTGGGGAGGGGGGAGGGAGGGAGGGAGGGTGTTCGGTATTTTTGTTTCAGCCATCTGGCAACCCTATTTCTATACTGTTCTGAGACCTAGAACAAATATCGTAAATGAAATCTTGTGGCTTCAGCTACTGCCAGAATTGCCTGGTTGTCCCCTACTGAACCACCTTTGTTTAAAAGGAGATTGATAAATAGTGAGCTTGTTGACTTGAGAAGATGGAATTTGAGCTGAGGTCTAACAAGTGCTTCCTAAGCAGATGCAGGCAATGGGCATCCAAAGGGCAGCATTGAAAATCTTCACCTTGGTGAAGGAGCCTGGACACCTTCAATAGCCAGAAAATGCAGAGATCTAACTCATGACTCATGGGCATTTTGGGTCTTGCAAAAGATGGCTACACTGGTGCTCAGATTCGGCAATGATGAAGGTGTTATACTGAGTCAGTTCCTGTGCACCTGTATATACGCTGTCCACATTTATATGCAGTTTTTCTTGGGTAAGTGAGAATTTGTTCCCTTGTGTGATGCAGTGTGATATTTAATGCTGCGTTACCATACTGGGGCATGTCATTCTTTCTCACACACACATCTCTGCATTCTTCTTGGGGGTCAGAATAACTTGGTTGCATGGCTTCTATTTGTGTCAATATTCCATTATGTGGTTTTATTGACCCACTTCTTTTTGGCAGCAATAACAAAACAACAAATCAATGTCTTCTGCATCTCCTTTGTTATCTTTTTAAAAAAAGTGGAGGAATTTTGAATATGGAACAGGGTTATGTGTGTCTGTGTGCACATGCACATTTGTGCTACCTACTGCAAATGCCCAAGTCAGCAACAGTCTATTATTTATTTCAGAGAGTTTGTCTGTGAGTGAGAGAGTGAGTCTGTTTGTCCAACTCTTTGTTCAAGAACTCCTAAACGGTAAGAGCTAAGATCACCAAATTTTGTATTCAGCTTCTTCTTATCATAACTGAAAGCAAGGTAGTCTGTAGGGTGGGCTGAAGCTACCCCCACCCCAATTCATATGGGTATGCATAAAACCATATCTAAAGCTTCACTAAAGATATATCACACCCTCTGTTTTCCCCATATCCACAGAGCCAGTTTTCTCATCATAGAAGGCAATCAGGTTGGGCAGGCATGACTTGCCCTGGGTGAATCCATGTTGACTGTTCCTGACCACCTTCCTTTCCTCCAAGTGTTTCAAAATGGATTCCTTGAGGATCTGCTCCATGATTTTGCCAGGTACTGAGGGGATGCTGATCTGTCTGTAGCTCCCCAGATCCTCCTCCTCTTTTCCCTTTTTAAAAGATTGGTACTACATTTGCCTTTTTCCCATCATCTGGGACCTCTCCCAGTTGCCAGGTTTTTAAAGATAATGACCCATGGCCCTGAAATCACATCTGCCAATTCTTTCAGCACTCTCAGCTGCATTAGATCCAGCCCCATGGACTTGTTGTGCATGTCCAGCTTTTCTAAATAGTCCTTAACCCGTTTTCTCACCACTGAAGGCTTACGGTTGCTCAGGTTTTTTTTCCAGAATGAAAGTAAAGGAGCCAAAGACAAAACAGTTCTTATAAATTTAATTAATAAAGTATTTATGCCTGACAGAGGTTCACAGGAACATCTGTTGTTTGATTCTGAGAGAAGCCAAGTTTGTAGAATGAATAGTATCCTGGCCAGGTTTCAGCCTAGGTAATTACATTCTTCCTACTTGACATTTTTCTTGTCGTTTCAACTGGATGCAGTATTTTTCCCCACTTCCTTTGCCTAATTATTGTATATGGTTGCTGTATGCTCTTAAATTGCTGTAATTCATTCCTGAGGTTGCCATAATGTAGTTATGGGATGATTCCATGGGCGTTTGCATCTCCAGAGAAATTCAGCTTGTGCCTGGAGACCTAGCAGGTAAAATATGTTAGCTGTGATATTAAAAAAAGACATGGACTTTTTTCTCAGGCTACTTATAATAGGAGTGTGAAGGAATATGAATCACTGACCAAACTAGTGAAAATATATTTTTGGTAGAATTATAAAGAGCAAAATTTGACATATTTGATTCAAATTTCTACCATGTTGAAAAAACGTCTAGATCTGAATCCTAAGCACGTAAGCATACATAAGCAATCCTGCAAATCTCCCCTTCATTACTACTTATTCAAGCTCCTAATTCTGTAGCACCCTTCCAACTAGCAGTCTGCCTACGACAGAGCTGTAATGTACGGCAATGCTGAAATAATGCCTTCTGCAATTATAGTTGTAAGGTAATATAATCTAAGAAATTCCTTGCACACAGAAGGCCTGATTTCCACTGCCTTGCACCTTATAAAGTCATTTACATCTGTATAAAGTGGATCTTAACACATTCTGATTTAGTACCATTTTATTGCTCTTCTACATGCACACACATTCAAGAGAGTAGAGAATCAGGTGTACTTTTACACCAGAGTAACTCTTTTGACATCCATGGTTTTACCCTTTCCATTAACATTTGTGTAGTGTTACAGACTGGCTCTGAAACAAAAAGGAATCTTAGTTATAAGAGTTCTTCCTATGGTATGTTTAAGCCCTTTTAATACAGTAAGCATCAGTAAAGAATACTTCCTGTTCCAAGGGCATATAAAGCTTATAAGAAGATAAAATTCTAGATTTTAAGACAGGGGTGGGGAACCTTTTTTGAGTCAGGGACCAATGACTCACAGAAAAATCAGTCAGGGGCTGGAGGCTGGAGAGCCAGCACGAGCTCTCCAATGCTGAGGGAGGCCCTAAGCCAGGGGTGTCCAAACTTTTTTCAAAGAGGGCCAGATTTGAAGAAGTGAACATGCGTGAGGGCCGTCCCCGCACTTTCAGCCCCAAGACGGAGGGCCCGCAGGGTCGGAGGCGGGTGGAGAGCGTAGGGCACGCCAGCCTCACGGCGGCCCGGGGACAGGGCGAACCCGCAGCCGAGCAGGGGAGCGGAGCTGCGGACGTGCCCTACAGAGCAGGCTCTAGGACCGCGGAGGCCATGGGCGGCGGCGGCGCGGCCGGAAGTGGCGCGCCAGTTCAAAAGAGCGCCGGTGAGCCAGGAGAGGGGGAGGAAGCGGGGGCCGTATTAAATCGGAACACGGGCCGCAATTGGCCCGCCGGCCGGACTTTGGACATGCCTGCCCTAAGCCTTAGGGGCCTGATCCAGGCAACCCAGTGGCTGCATCCGGTCCCCAGGCCTTATGTTCCCCACACCTGCTGTAAGGTGTGCAAACTAATCACAAAACATTTCAGTTTGTAGGGTCTTGATGAAAAACTGATTTTTTTTCTGCAGAAAAGAGACACTTCATGCAAAATCTTTTGTTTAGATGAAAACCCATTTTCCTTTAAAAACAGTTTTGACTGATGAAATTGACCCACCTTAGTATTTAATTTCTATCAGTATGTCAGATGTTTTTATTCTGTTACTTTTCCTCTGGCATGTACAAAAAAAGGGGACTATATTTTACAGATGAATTTAAGGTAATTCCTTCTATTACTGTTTTTTAAGACAGAATAAACCTAACAATTGGGAGGAAAATGTGATTATATTAATACACTTTAGATTCCCATCCTCAATCCAGAAAAATTGGAATGAACATACAGTAGCTCTTAATCAGTCACTAATCTAAGTTTATTAACAGAGCAATAGACAAACTGTGGGAAAAGCAAACTTTTGAAAAGCTAAGTACCTGAGAACTGCAGGCAGTTAGCAAATGGAATGAAACTCAATTTCCCATTGATACCTCAAGTTAGTTACTTAAAATGACCTATGAAGACCTTTATTTAAATTGGGTTTGTGCCTTATTTTGCCTTAAAGAGGACATGTAAGTTTATTTCTATCTGTCTAATAACTTAAAAATGTCAGAAAAGTCATCTGATTTGTGCCAAATGAGCTATCAGAGATGTGCAGTGTGGAGCATTCAAGGGATGAGGACTGAAGGTGAGTAATGTCCAGATTGTCAAATCAGGGTCAATGTTACTGGGGTTGGAACACAAGGAACGTCCTTTAAATTCATTTTCACAGGGGCCCAAATCCATAGGCACACGTCTCTGCAGGCACTGTAAACATGGTGGCTACGGCTAGACTGGCATGATTTTCCACAAATGCTTTCAACGGAAAAGTTTTTCCGTTAAAAGCATTTGCGGAAAAGAGTGTCTAGATTGGCCCGGACGCTTTTCCGCATCTTACTTCAGAAGACTTTCAAATCTGCACTTCAAAGGGAATCCTCTGAACTGGCATTCATGCTAAAATTCGACACTCTCCGCGGGGGTCTGAACAAAGACCCCAACTACCTTACCCATTACAAAGATAGCTTCCCCAATTATCACCTCTAATACCATTAACTCACAGACATCTACCCTTCCCCACCTCTAATATCATTAACTCACAGGCATTTACCTTCCTTCCCCCCACCCCCCCGCATCCCCCTTCTGTTCTGAAATGTGATTTGTCCTTTTCATATGTGTTCATTTTTTTAATTGTATCCTTTGGTATATATGGTTGTGACTATTTTCTTCCACTATTTGATCTGAGGAAGTGGGTCTGGCCCACGAAAGCTCATCATCTAATAAACCATCTTGTTAGTCTTTAAAGTGCTACATTGTCCTGCATTTTGCTTCAACTACCCCAGACTAACACGGCTACATTTCTATCACCTTAAAGAACATACAGAAGCATGGCTGCATCGCTGCAGCTTTGCCACTGAAAACTCTCTAGTGTAGCTACTATAAAACTGGTCTCATAAGTAATTTATACCTTTTGAAATGTTACCCTTAATATTCATTTCCCTCTCAGATGCTCCGCTTCCATTCTTGTTGTACTGTCACTAGACCTCCAGTCACCATGGAATCTGCTGGGGTCGAGAAGGCATTAGGTTGTAAAAATCCTCAGAATATATATTTTCTAGACAAAAATCTTTCAGGCCTACTTTATGCATAATAAAAGAACACAGAGGAGGACTAGAATGGTTTTTTTTTCTTTTGGAGGTCACCTTTAATATATCAGGTGTTTTGGACACAGAGTAGTGATGGTAGGAATAACAGAAGAACAGCTTTTGAAAAAAAATACTGTTTACCAGCATATGCTTTCTCTTTGAAATCTTTTGTAATTTGAAGAGGAAGAGGTGGGTCAGGGTGGATACACTTTAAATAAAGGCCTGTAATCAAACAGTTGAAGCAAGTGTAAATGCTTTGTTTAGTTTCTAGCAAGGAAGAAACTTTTAGATATGCCTCTTTCAGATAGCACACATGCTTTTGTTTACATTTCTGTCTCCTTCCCTATCTGTAAATGTGGAGATTACAATGACTGTTTTTCTTTATATAATTAGTGATAATTTGACTGATAGAGCAGTACTTTTTCAGAATGGCTGAATATATTGCAAAGAGCCCAAGAACAACTTATGTTTGCCATCTTGTCATTGTATCCCAGCAAAGGCAATGGCCTAAATATATGGAGGGTTTCTGTCATAGAAGTAAAACATTTCCAGTAGAGGGGGCTACTGTTAGAGCACTAAATAAAAATGGACAGATCTTCAGAAATTCGGAACATCTTGAATTTGGGTTCACTGTTATTTAGGTGTCTAGTGATAGATACTCAAGTTTGAATGTTTTGGCCAGAGAAGTTATATAATTACCCATTGAAAAAAGAAATATCTACCACAAAGATTATATAGAAAGAAAGAAAGAAAGAAAGAAAGAAAGAAAGAAAGAAAGAAAGAAAGAAAAAGATTGATTGATTGATTGATTGATTGATTGCATTTGAAAGGAATGCTCCTGGCAAGGATGGTTGTCCTCCACACCAACCCACACTTTCTTCACAAAGTAACCATGGGCTTGTTTCTCTTTGCACACCATTTATTGTTACTCCAGTGACTTAAGGGTGTGAGGAGAATCACATACCATGTGTTTTTGTGTAATCTTGCTTTGTTCTTCTGTCACCCCTTGTAGTTTCCAGGCTTTAACATTGCTTTCAAGTCTCCTCAATCATCATCCCAACAGCATCTTTTGGCAATGAGCACACCCTGTCCCAACAACTTGGAGTGACTTCTCAGACTGGATACCTTTGCCTTGCTTCTACTTTTCATGTGAAGTTTGGTGTTTTAGTCTCTGAGGACATTCACAGTGGTTATCCTTTCAACAGCAAAATTCCAAAAGCATCTTAAAGAGAGCAATGTTTATCCTTTGGCTACCCCAGGGTTCTCTGAGATTCCCAGGGTCACCAGAGTGAGTCAATAGGAAATCAGTGTCATCCTCACAGAGTCCTTATGTTATTCTGAATCTGTGCTCCTGGCACATCCCACTTCCAGCTATGTAGGCAGGGGACACCGAGAAAGCCAAATACAGCTTGGAGTTATGTTATCTGAGGGAGCAACTACAGGTGCCAATGTATCCACTCGGCCTATCCACTCTGCCCTGATCCACCCACCGCTAGCTCAGCTATCAATGAAAGAGCCCTTTGTGGCACAGAGCTGGTGGTGCCCTGAATTCAGCTCTCTCTCTCTCTCTCTCTCTCTCTCTCTCTTCCACATTTGAAATTGGTACAAGAGATTCTGTCCCATAGGATCATTTGCAGCTCTCTGTAAACATCTCAGCATATGAGTCACCCTGGTGAAGTTTCAGTTCTGCACGGCTTGTACTTTTTTTGTTTAGACTGTGTAGGACACTTTGATGTTTCACTGTGGACATCCTGTCTTACACTGTTGTTGCTAATCAAACATACCACAGATTAGACTGTGAACTCTGATGCCAGCTCATTATTTTTTGGTGGATATTCTAGTTTACCCAGTATTTAAAGGAAATCCACAAAACCCAAAGGACAAGTTTTTTTCCCATCACCTCCTGTCACTCAGAGTATCTTTCTTCATTTGTAGCAAATAGTTCACGCAGCAGAAGAGCAAAATCTTTTGAGATTATAGCCGGGAGTGTGGATTTTCTTATATTTATCATCTAACTACATTTTTGGTTTGGGATTATTATTAAAATGTGTAGTAGAGAAACACAGTTTGGGGAAGTAAAAGTTTTTCAATATTCTCAGTTACATCATCTCTGGGTCTGTGACCTTTTCAACTTGGCTGGGAATCTGCTGGAAAACAGCTGTGATGTTTTTTAGTTTTGAATTGTAAAAAGGAAACTCTTTGCCCTAATGTCTTGCTTTGTTAGTATTACTGTTGTAAACTTCTTGAGGATTTTGTAGAATACTCAGTGTTGGGTTTTTGACAGTGAAGTGCTGATTTTGTGTGTGTGTCATTTATAGAGGTTACCCCAGGGTGAGCCAACACAATTTAGTGTTGGGTTACTTTGGTCCTTAGGCCTGTAACAAAATGTTCAGACCCTTAAAACTACAGTGGGAAACCAATTACATATAGATTTATGGGTGTTGGGCAGAGAATTTGGGGCATTGTATTTTTCTCCTCTCAATTTAGTACTGCTAAATTGCTTGGTAGAATTGATCATGGATACATTAATCAATGTGCTTGGGAAATACCTGCTATTTTCAAGTTATAGACTTGAGGTCAAAGACTGAATTGTCAAAAGAAGACACAGTGGAACAACTTGATAAGAAAGAATTTAAGAATGAAAAGACTGAACTGCATGTGCGGCTCCGCCCCCGGGCACAAGGCACATGCGCAGCCCCACCCCCCGGTGCGCTGCGCCCCTTAGAGCTGCCATCAGGTGCAGTGCGCCTGGGGCTGGGGGCCATGGGTAGGGGGTGCCCCTTGCTGCCATCAGGTGCCACGCAGCCCCCGGCCCCAGGCACGTGGCACCTGATTGCAGCTCTAAGGGGAGCCGCGTGGCTGGGCGTGTGGCGCCCCTTACAGCTGCCATGAGGCACCCCCCATAGGTTGGCGCCCTGGGCAGCTGACTAGCTAACCCCCTCCTTAATCCGGCCCTGCATTTAGACTAAAGGCTTCTTTTGCTAGAAGCGATGCGCTTTTGCGAAAGAGAGCATCCAGACTCCTTGGACGCTCTCTTGCATACAGGCCACCCGGAACCACTTCAGCCAGGGCTTTAGCTCACCAGTTGCTTCCAAGTGCTGGTGCCGGAGCCTTGCAGAATTACGCGCTTAAAGGGACCCCCCGGACAGCCATTTCTCTCCTGCTGAGTACTTGCCTATCTCTTCTAGGGACACCACAGCTTTAGCAGTGCCTGCTGTGGTTGCTCTGTTCTTTTTTGGACGCCACAGCCTTTTCCTTTGTGCTATGGAGCTGGAGCTGCCCTTGGACATGCAATGGACCCACACGGCCATGCTGCAATTTTTGCAGCACTTTCTGCCAGCTGCCTTCCTGGTCCTGCACAGCCAGGACTCTGAGCTCATTCTGGGGACCCTCTCCATGGCTGCAGCTGCTCCACTCTGGCAACTGAACCCCACTGTGGAGATGCATTTTTGGAGGCTCGACACCAGTATGGACTGGTGGGACCAGCTGGTCATGGAGCGGTGGGATGCTCAGCCATGGCTCCAAAGCTTCCGCATGCAGAAGGCCACCTTTTTGGAGCTATTTGCCTGGCTCACCCCTGCCCTCTGGAGACGCAACACCCACTTGCGACCCACCATCCCCCTGGAGAAGCAGGTCGCAAGAGACTTCTAGAAGCTTGCCACCCCCAACAGCTACCAGTTGGTGGGCAACCAGTTCGGTGTGGGGAAGTCCACCATTGGGGCCCTCCTTCGATCCGTGCACCATTGAGCATCCCGTATATTAAGAGGAAGGGCTACTTCTTCATGGTGCTGCAGGCCCTGGTCGACCACTGGGGACACTTCACAGACATTTTTCTCGGGTGGTTGGGAAGGGCACATGATGCCCGAGTGTTCCAGATCTCTAGCCTGTACAGGAAGCTGGAGGCAGGCACATTCTTCTCCCGCCGTGACTTAGCGGTTGGGGACGTGCAGATGCCATTGTGCATCGTGGGGGATGCAACCTACCCCTTCATGCCATGACTGATGAAGCCTTATAACAGCCACTTGGATCCCAGCATGGACCGATTCGATACCCACCTGAACTGGGCCAGGATCCAGGTAGAGTGTGCCTTCAGCCGCCTCAAGGCACATTTCCGGTGCCTCCTCACTTGCCTTGACATGGGGGAGCACAACATACTTCGGTTGGTGTCAGCATATCGTGTCCTCCACAACATTGTGGAGAGGAAGAGGGAGGCCACGAGGGGCATCAGCCGTTGACAGGTACCATCCACCAGGCTCATTAGGCCAGGGTGTGCATCCAGGAGGCTGAGGGAGTGGTTCTCTCAAGGACCCCAGTAACTCTCCCCAGGGCCTCCTCCCTAGGGACCTCTGCCTTGCGGCCCTATCCCTTCCCCACCACAACCCCACCCATCACACTTTCCCTCACCTCCCAGAAAATACACCAGTTTGGTTTAAAACAAAATGCAGTCTGTATTGATTAAAGATTCCAAAAAGGTGGGCAGTGGGAGGGGGCCTCATAACTGGGAGGGAGGCAGCTCGATGTGCTACCTCAAGTGTGGGGACCTCGTCAGGGTTGGGTGAGTCCGAGGAGCACAGGGAGGTGAAGAGGAGGGTGGGCTGGAGCAGGGGCAGGGGAGCAGGGGGAGAGGCCATGGGCATCACTTGAGGAGGGAGCAGAGTCATGGCAGGGGAAGCAGGCAGATGGGGAATGGGCATAGCAGGGAGGGCAGGAGCAGCGGCATCAGGCGGGTGTTCCACTATGCGGGACATGACGTCACACATGGTGTCACACCACTGCATTAATTGGTCCCAGGTGAACACCCACCACTCAAAGTTGGCACAGACATTGTGCACCAAGGTCTCATGGATGTCACGCAGGACACTGATGTGCTGGTGTGTCAGGTCCTTGTGCACCCTGGTGCGTTTGCAGGACCCCTGGGCTCTGGTGGGTGGCTGCAGTGGTGCGTCTCAGCCCTCAGTCCTGACTGGTCCAGCTGTGGAGAACACACAAGAGGGAGAGGCAGTCAGTCATCCCTGAAGACACTGTCCCTAAGGCTGTACCCTTCACTGTGAGCAGCAACCAACAGTCCACAGCCCAGAGGAGGGGGATGTCCTGGGTGCAAGGCCATGTGGGGCCTGCACACCAGGTCCTGTCTCACAGGGGTCCCGACCTGCCCAGAGGACCGTGCTGCTCATTTCCCACCCCTCACCACCAGCCTATGGACAAGCAGCCAAGGAAAGTGTCCAGCCACAGTGGGATCCCCTCATAGGCGGCAGAGGAGCCAGGAGCAGCCTGGCCCTCCCTGAGGTCCGCACACACAGGTGCAGTTTACTGGGCTGTCTGTGGGAGTGGCTGCTGCCTCGCATGTGCAGACATGTCCACAGGGCCGGACAGAGGCATGGGAGAGCCGGGCAGCTGCCCATGGTGCCAACCCATGGGGGACACCTGATGGCAGCTGTAAGGGGCAGGAGGTGTCTCGGTGTCTTACAGCTGCCATGAGGAGCTGCCCACCCAGCTCCCGCAGCGCTGGCCCCGCGGCGCCGGACAGCAGTGCCCTTCCCCCCATGACTGCAGGGCCATGCATGGCCCAGCGCGTGCGCTAGCAGCACTGGCCGGGCCGGGCAGCACATGCACCGTGCGTCCCGAGGGTGGGCCCTGGGCTGCGCGCCAGTGGCCGTGGCTGGCGTGCCCATGTGCCGTGCGCCCCAGGGGTAGGCCCACACACCCTGGGGGGGGTGGGCCTGCACCCCATGGGCAGGCCTGTGCATGTGCCCTGCACCTGGGAGCAGCGCCGCACGCCTGGGCCCAAGTCGCCAAAAGGGCTCGGGGCGGCCCTGCATGCCCACATGCTGTGTGCGGCACTCCTCGGTCTGCGTGGGGTCGTGCCTGTGCCCTTGTGGCTAGCCTGCTTCCAGCTCACATGGCAGCACATGTGTGGCCTCCCCTGACCCTGGGAGCAGCATTCCACCCATGCTCAGGGGCTGCCTGCTGCATCCACGTGCTGCACAGTAACTCAGCACATGGTTACACATTCACGGACCACTGCCCGATGTCCAGCCTGAGCGACACTCACCCCCTACTTCCATGCACCCTCCTCCCCCACCCTGTGTGTGTGAAAGTGAGATCACTCACCTGAAGATCCCTTCCAGATGTCCGAGAAGGCCTGGGGGTATGTCTACACTACAAAGTTAATTCAAACTAACGGACATTAGTTCGAATTAACTTTGATAGGCGCTACACTAGCGCTCCGCTAGTTCGAACTTAATTCGAACTAGCGGAGCGCTTAGTTCGAACTAGGTAAACCTCATTGTACGAGGACTAAGCCTAGTT